GGACCTTCCCCTACCCAATGAGTTGACCCCCCCCCCCTTCAAGTGTCGCTCAATGCAACCATGTGCCATACCCTAGATATGCCAGTTCGTGTTCCTTTGTAAGCTGGCGTCTTGCACTTCATTCCCCAAATCCATCTTAAAATGGGCTAATCATTATTATTCACACTTAAATCAGCATGCCAAGCCTGAGTATTACCAAATCACATTATCATTTACATTAAATGTATCTTTTTCTAGATATAAATATAAAGCTACTGCTGCAGGGCTCCCATGTGTGTCTTAACGGCTAGGGCATTGTGGATGTTTCATCTCTGACAGTCATTTTGGTGTTACCCCCTCTAAAAAGTCGGGCAGAGAGCCCGACAGTGTCAGGAGAGAGGAGGGGACCCAGCGACATACCTCATCCCGCCGAGTAAATGTCCCCTCCTTTCTCTGCCGGTGTCTATCACCAAGATAGCCACGCATGTGCGATATCATTGCACACGTTCGAGGTGACGTCATGCGCAATGACGGCAGGGTGTCACCCAATCTGGAGACCAGGTGACTCACAGCATCGGGACGCCCCTGGGTAGTGATATAGATGCTCTAGCAGATTTACATGGCCTTGCCTAACAAATTAAATCTGAACTCGATTAACTCGAGCTAACACTTTTCAAGCAGTTACAAGCAGTTTTTTGGGGGATAAAGGTTTTACATAAATGGATAAAAGCTGACCATTGCAAGCACCCCTGTCAGTGTTCTATGGTTTTTGTCTGCCCTCTATCTGCCACTTTTTCTGGACAGCGTGGCGTCTTAAAGGGGGTTGAACAATAACAGACTTACAGAGCGGATCACCAGGGAAAAATAAAGGAAAAAGAGTATAAAAAAGAAATCAAACGCTGCCACCATATCTAAGATCTGGTAAACTGCAATATGTAATGTTTTTGTTTTTGGGATTCAGGCACGATTTAGGGCTTGTTCACACCATAAACAGTGCGTTCCAGATGAGTCAGCTGAGTCGGCTTCCTTCGTTCAGGGGCATGGCGGTGCATTGAAGTCAATGGCACCGCAGCCACACACCCCGCCCACAGTGTGATTACCCGCCCCAGAACGCATGGCACATCAGTGCCTGCATTCCGGTTCAGTGCGATCTGAAATAATAGTGCTTGCAGCATGGCTACAGCAAAAATTTTGTTAATCCTTGCTGTGGGGCTACCCCCGCACTGACAAGGTTAAGCAGCGGCCGCGATGGTGTACTTCACTGCCAGTGGCCATCTTGGTGATGGACGCCAGCAAGGAGAAGAGGGGATATTGACCAGGTGGGATCAGCTATGTCACCGGGTCAGGCTCTCAGTCCATGACAGAGTGCCCGACTTTTAAGAGGGGGTGACACCCAGCGCAGATTGCACACCACTCACCTCCCTTGTGACGCCACTGGGGTTCAGTGTTTGTTTTTAAGTGCTAAAATAAAAAAAAGTGTTCCTAATAAGAACCAGGGCCCCCAGGGTGTTTCAAACCAGAACCAGGGTGCCAACGGTGTTCCAAACCAGAACCAGGGTGTCTCATTTGTTCCAGGTTTATGTAAAAAGTGGAATCATACATAGAGAAAAAAAGACATGAAATAGTTATTTCTCTGACTAATGGCTCTCAGGGTTACCCAGACAAGTGATTTCCAGATAACAGGTGATTTCCTGGTATTAACTAGAAATGCCAGAACACACCGAGGAGGTTAACAAAGGTGACAGATATTTATGATCTTAACTTTTTAACTTGTGCATTGCCCGGGGCACTGAGGACTGATCTCTGGCTCAGAGAATAAATTCTGCTAAACAGCCACTTTTTTATGCCTCCCCCCCCCCCCCCCCCCCCCCCACACACACACACACACACACTTCCCACATATTTTAAAGTCAATTAAAATATGCATCTCTATATTGAATTTACATAAGTTATATTCCACTCCTGATAACCATATCAATCTAGAAATTTCTAAACTTACTTATTGAAGATGCCCATAGTAAGTATTTCCTCAATGCACTGGCACAACTTCACTAAGACCTGTTGATATTCACTTCCTTGTGTCACCACTCTAACTATATCTGCCTTCTGAACTACAACTCAACATCTGAACAATGTGACATCATTATTACTTGCTGGAAGCAATGCATGATGGGTTATGTAGTCTTGAGAAATGGAGATTGCATCACATCAAGCAGCAGGGAAAGAGATGCAAGCACACTGGGAATCCAGAAATTTGTTGATAGTGATGGGCAGACGGAAGGCAGCACTCACTACATAAAAGGGATTTTTTCAAGTAAGCTTTGACTGTATTATCAAAAACAACTTGTGTATGTAATCCTATTACAATGATGATGTCATAACAGGACAGTATATGCTGGGACTTTACAGCACCTTTAATGGATGTGTGTCTTTTTTCACTATGTAATTAAAGATACAGTAGGTATCAGTTTTAGTTAATAAAAGAGCCTTAGCTACCTGGTTCTAATAAGCTGCCAAGTTCTAAAGCCGCAAGCAACTACCCGAGTGTCTATTTTTGTTTTTTTTATCATAGTGTTTCCATATGTAAGCTGGGGATCCATAAAAATAGTTGAGCTATTGCAATATTTATATATTTCTATAGTAACATAATGAGGAACAGAATTTAGGGATATCCCCTCACTTGGTTCCTCTGGTTTCCAAATAACATATCACAGGAAGCCTTCCCTGTACACTGGTATTAGCTGGGCCAAGCTGGACAACTGCTGGATCTTACCCAAATGAAAGTGAAACTCACACTGCTCATTTTGGGATTGGAAAGTCAACATAAAGATAAGACCAATCAGACGCAATATTGAAGTGAATGGGGAAAACAAACAGTTAACACTTCTAATCTAATTTACATGCAAAAATAGTTACCTTTCATTTAACAGGGTGGAATTTGGAAATCTTACTGGTACAAATCATTTCTAGAATTAATACCCCCGCACTGCAAGGGTCAACTTCTCATTTGTGTCTAGGACCGGTCCTTCCAGCTTCGCTCCCTCTCTGCTTCAGCGGTCTAAGGATCTTTGAAGACATGAGGACACCAAGGAACATAGCATTGCTGCCGTGTAGGAGGGGAGAGGACCAGCATCTACTTCCTAGACTGAAATGCTGACTCGGAGATGACACCACCATGGAAACCCTGGTGCTTGTGCAGATTTTGGCTGTGTTCACAAATGTCTGACACAGATCCGCTCCTGCTGCAGTCTCTTGACTTGCTAAAAAATTTCATTCTGATCACTAGAGAGGAGACTGAGCTTAATGCACATCCTGACCGCAGCCAAATGATGACATTGCCTCAGTCTAGGCAAACTTAGTTAACTAAAGCTCAAAAACAGCTTTTTAATGATAAATGGTCCAGCTGTTTTGAAAAATGATATTATCAGTGTATATTGTGGCATGTCAGGAATTAATTAATGCAGACTTGTAAAGTTATCTAAAGCTTTGCTTCAATAAAAATATATATGGCTTTTTATTTGACCCGATAGCCCCATTCTGGCCATATGCTGATCTTATCCATGTCTACCTTTAGGAAAGGATTTAAATAGCATTATTCCTATACCACTAACTATGTTTCCTGTATCACTGAACCCTGGGATTCACTGGAACTGAATTTGTTTCATTACCTCTCTGTCATTTACTCTTATAATAACATTACGTTGATCAATCCTGACCTGACATCATTAGAACAGCAATTAATTACAAGTTACTTTGTGTCTCAGCACTTTTATCCAGCTTGTAACATAACCCTGCAGGGAATACACCAGTCCAGGCTTGAGTCTGGGGAGGGAGAAAACACACCGTTTGCGGCCACATTTAAGGTTATGGCTTGAACTGCGGCTTTCTTTGTACAATTTACTTCTGGAATGAGTCCAGCAGCAAATGGGTTAAGAATTACTCCGTACAAGATTGTTCATGCCAGGAGATGGAAGCCAATACGATAGTAATTAGACACTGCAGATTGTTACAACCCTAAATATTGAAAAAAAGATTCATGATGTCAACCTTCAGACCCCATTCACACTGAGCGATTTGTAGCTCAAATATCGCTCAATGTAGTTCGTCCAATGCATTTCAATGGAGCTGTTCACATCTCACTGTCGCCTGTAACTAATAGTTCAAGCTTGTCGCTCAAACATGACCCATTTTCCAGTGGATTTTGTGTGATTTGGCCTCAATAGGCTTTCATAGACTGCCAAAAGAAGAGCTACATAG